ATCAAATTCAAGGAAAAATTTGCGAAGCTTCTGGCTGTTCTGCTTTTCTGTCACTTTTTAGCAGGCGTTGCGAGTGGCATCCCGGGGATACAAGGGCGCGGAGGAGGGTCGCTATCTATCCAGGCTATCTATCTATGAAATACATACCTATATAGAGTGTCAGTTCTCAAGCTTGTGGTCCTCTTTTGGGTACCCTGAATACTAGTGGCTGCCATATCATAGCAACCCAAAAAGGACCATCATTTAGAGAACGCAACACATATACAGGGTTTAGGGTTTAGGGTTTAGGTAGGGGCCGGTAGGGGTTAAGGTTTAGGGTTTAGGGTATATATACTAACACGCTGTGCCGCATGGCATGACGCATCAACGGGCATCTTCTTTCCACCTCTGGAACCGTGGTTTGGGAGACATACACGAAACTTGTGACTCTGACTGTGATGTAGGGTTTAGGGTTTACGGCTCAGGGATATGTATACACACATATGATAGCGTTGAGGATCCGACGGTGCTGCCACGGAGGGTCGCACCTGATCTTTGGCTGGCCCCCCAGACTCTGCGGCACGATCTGGCCCCCTATACTTTTGTGTGGAAGTATCTGCCCAAGATGGGCACAAGGCATCCTTGCAGGTAGTTTGCTTCATACATGTGGGCCTTTGCACATGAGCGCTTCTTTCGAGGGCACTCGAACGAACTCTTGAGGTCTTTCGGGTCAAGTTAGCGGGCACGCCTCCGCCCTCCGAAGCGACTGCAGGATCGTGCAGCCGGCGCAGAGCGGAACAACCTCACAAGCTGCCCACTGGGTACCTAATGCGGTTCCCGAAGCTTCAGGTTCATAGGGTTTAGGGTTCATAGGGTTTAGTGTTGAGGGTTTAGGGTTTAGGGTTTAGAACATTTTTTAGAACCTGGCACTCGGATGGTTGAGACAGGCCGCAGCGATGGGCAGCATCTCCCCGTCCCAGCCAGCGAGAGCCACACAGTCGGTCTGAAGCGCATGTTTGGAGACTCGAAGGCTACGGGGCCATGGGAGGTTTTCCTAACATGACTCATGGAGTATGAGCTACATTTCGGAGATTCTTCTTGTAGTGCACGGGCCAAAGTCACCCTAACCCAAACCCAACACGCTCAAACTGTCCACAGCAGGCGCTGTACGAAGTTCAGCTCCCCGGCCTGCTTCGCCAAGCCTCGTCACAGGATCGAGTAGGCTTGTTGCTATGGACAGAAGCGACAGATGACATCTCAGCCCGAGAATAGCCTTGGGTTTGCTTCAAAACGCGGCGGTTGAACAAAAAACGTGTCCGTCGCGACCGGAGGACATCAAGCATGTGTGGTCCAGGTCACCCAATCATGCGAATTCATGCGAAGAAACCCCTATATGGGCGAAGCGTGTACATCGAGTTCTGCTACCCATTGCTGCCACCAAAAAATGCCATGTTTCTTGCTCGACTCCTCTAGGTAACATGCAAATCTTAACCCTAAACCCTAAACCCCTAAACCCCTAAACCCCAAACCCTAAGCCCTGAACCCTCTGACAGCCCAGGGAAAAGCCTTGGTCAGGCTGCAGATTGGCCACGATCGCGCACGGCACAGAGCCTCTGCAGGCTTGGCTTAAGTTACTTGGCGGAACTTTCTTATAGGGGTTTAGGGTTTAGGGTTTAGGGTTTAGGGTTTAGGGTTTAGGGTTTAGGGTTTAGGGTTTAGGGTTTAGGGTTCCCTCAGAGAGGGGGCTTCATGGGGGGCAGGCTGGGGAACCTTGGGCCTTAGGGAGTAATAGGGAGTTCTAGGGACCTTGGGTTACATACCCCCCCTGAACCCTCCGCCCCCTTAAGAACCCTATGACTTTAGTAGCAAACGCCGTCAGCACTTGGAGCAATAGTGCCTGAATGTGTTTGACCTGCCGTGTAGATGGGAGGACATACCAAGAAGCAGCAACCCTAAACCCTAAAGCAACCCTTCCTTTGAACTCAGACTCAAAGCATCAGCTGGGACTAGCTCCGAGGCAAACGACTCATGCACACGTACAACTCAAACTCACCCTGAGAGGCCTGCAAAAGCCGTGCCGTAGTGATGGAAACCCTCAACCAAGTGCATCCCTAAACCCTAAACCCTAAACCCTAAACCCTAAACCCTAAACCCTAAACCCTAAACCCTAAACCCTAAACCCTAAACCCTAAACCATGTCAGCCAACAAGATTCATGGTCAAGCCCCAGTGTGGAGAAATGCAGAGATCCAAGCGGTGATGACGACGAAAAATAGGAAGGGCCGCCCGTAACTTGTAAGGACCTAATAATCAGGCTTTCAGTAAGTGTTTAGGACGTTAAGTTTAACCATCCTCCAACCATCCTCCAAACAGGGCCTTACAGCCTTTGAAGGTCAGCCTTGCCGGTTGTAACATATGGGAGTTTACGAAGATAGGGGACCCCCAATATAGACCCTTCAATAGTAGGATCCCCTTACAATAGGAACCCCAATAAGGTACCCCTAAAATCGCAAACCCCTAAACCCTAAACCCTAAACCCTAAACCTTAAACCCTAAACCCTAAACCCTAAACCCTCTCTTACTATGTATATTTAAACCCTAATGACCTTCGTCGGCATATTGTTTTTTTTCTGGGCCCTAAACCCTGACCCTCTTCGTCGGCATATTGTTTTTTTCCACCCGGGGGCCCCCCCAAAACACCCCAAATGAGGGGGACCCCAGGATCGGCCCCGGCCCCAGTTCAAAATGCGATTTTTTAGTATTGAAATCGACGGTTCTGGGTGGCCTCCTGTTTTCTGGATTTTTGACCAAAACCGGGGGGGGGGGCCCTAAACCCTGACCCCCTTCGTCGGCATATTGTTTTTTTCCCCCCTGGTGGGCCCTAAACCCTGACCCCCTTCGTCGGCATATTGTTTTTTTCCCCCCTGGTGGGCCCTAAACCCTGACCCCCTTCGTCGGCATATTGTTTTTTTTCCCCCCTGGTGGCCCTAAACCCTGACCCCCTTCGTCGGCATATTGTTTTTTTCTCCCCTGGGTGGGCCCTAAACCCTGACCCCCTTCGTCGGCATATTGTTTTTTTCCCGCCTGGTGGGCCCTAAACCCTGACGCCCTTCGTCGGCATATTGTTTTTTTCCCCCCTGGTGGGCCCAAACCCTGACGCCCTTCGTCGGCATATTGTTTTTTTCCCCCCTGGTGGGCCCTAAACCCTGACCCCCTTCGTCGGCATATTGTTTTTTTTCCCCCCCTGGTGGGCCCTAAACCCTGACGCCCTTCGTCGGCATATTGTTTTTTTTCCCCCTGGTGGGCCCTAAACCCTGACCCCCTTCGTCGGCATATTGTTTTTTTCCCCCCTGGTGGGCCCTAAACCCTGACGCCCTTCGTCGGCATATTGTTTTTTTCCCCCCTGGTGGGCCCTAAACCCTGACCCCCTTCGTCGGCATATTGTTTTTTTTTCCCCCTGGTGGGCCCTAAACCCTGACCCCCTTCGTCGGCATATTGTTTTTTTTCCCCGCCCTAAACCCTTCGTCGGCCCCCCTGGTGGGCCCTAAACCCTGATTTTTTTCGGACCTTCCGGCATATTTTTTTTTTTCCCCGCGGGGGGGGGGGGGGCTAAACCCTGACGCCCTTCGTCGGCATATTGTTTTTTTTCCCCCCCCCCCCCACCCCCCCCCCAACCCTCCATCAAGTGAGGAGAGTTAGATTTCGGGTTTTGGGTTAGCTGGACCTTGAGCTTTAAGCCTACTGGGAATGTATTGAGTGAACTTTGTATTTTCTCAATGTTATGGGTTTCTTGGGTGGGTGGGGTTTTATTCCAACGCTTGACAAGCTGCTTGACTAGTAAATGCTCGGCCTTGAGGTGCTGAACCCTAAACCCTAAACCCTATCAGGAGCTCGCCTGCAGCGACCATCTGCCAGTCGGCGCCACCTTGGCCAAGCAGGGTCCGGGTGCAAAGGTCAAGACTCACCTGGGAACTACAGTGGGATCCCTGATGCCTTCCCTAAACCCTAAACCCTAAACCCTAAACCCTAAACCCTAAATCCCTTCACGAACTCGGGTCTCGGAGTCTAGATCACAGACCGCCAGCCGACATTTCGCACCATGACTTGACGTGTGTGCATAGGCAAGTGTCGGGGATGGGGTAAAGGGAAGCATGGTCTCTCTACAAACATCTACAAGCTTTTTGCTTGGCTTTTGCGTCCATGCACTCAGGTAGCATGCCTTTGGCATGCATCTGTCTCTAGAATCGAGCCATTCTGGCCCTGCAGACGGCTTTGGTGCATTAACCCTGTCCTCGGCAACTGCCATATGACATCCCAACAAACCGAGAAACTTCTCAACAGCACGGTGTTCCTAAACCCTAAACCCTAAACCCTAAACCCTAAACCCTAAACCCTAAACCCAACAGGCTGCGGACCCACGGGTGGAGCCTTGGTCTGTACAAAGCGTTGCTTGCATCCGCGGTGTCCCAAAGCAGGGGGCCCTGAAGCCCTAAGCCCCTAAGCCCTAAGCAGGGTTTAGGGTTTAGGGTTTAGAGTTTAGGGTTTACTATTTAGGGTTTAAGGTTTCCCTAAATGCTAAGCGTGGCCACATACTGCTGCCTGGCTCCTAGTTGTGCAGAAGGGCTTGATACATGTCACCCCATCCCTGTTCAATTGAAATGTTCGAACTTCAGCAACCCTTCTTCCTAAACCCAAAACCCTACATCCTTTTGCAGCCGGACACCAAAACCCAAAATCCTAAACCCTAAGCTTGCACAGATCCCCTCACAGGCTCCGGCTGCAAGCGTTGTGCTGCGTAATTTGGCAAGAGCCTGGGGTCCCACTGTACCTTATGTAGGCGCTGTACCTTATTTAGGCGCTGTACCTTATTTAGGTTTAGACGCTTTTTTAGCTCACTCCGCGGCCCTTCATGTTTCTGTTTCAAATTTCGGGGAAGCTTACAGTGGCTCCCCCAGACTAGCCCCTGACTCTACAAAAGGTCTGCGCCGAATTTTGCTGTACGTTGAGCTCGAAGCTCGGGGTTCACCTCGGCACAAGGTCGACATGAGCATCCTGCTTTCCGAACGCATGGCTCACAACATGTGCACGACGTCGGATTTCTATACCTCTGCTGCGGACTATGGCCCCTCCAGCAACGTCGGAACGCCTTTCCAAAGCTAGCTATGAGCCCGTGCTATGCTAGAAAGAGTTAGCAGAACCCTTGCCCATTTTGGGTAATCATACCACCAGTCAACCCATTAGACGATTATTCCTATACTCCCCCCTACACCTCACCAGCGATATCACCACTACTACCCCATTACCAAGACCAGTATAGGAATAACCGATTACCTCATCCATATAAGAGGATTATTCCTATACTCCCTAACACTTCCCCCAAATATCACCACTACTAACCCATTACCAAGACCAGTATAGGAATAACCGATTACCCCATCCATATTCCCTAAGGTGGTATTATCATCCCGAAATGGGCAAAGGTTCTTTTATAGATTTTACTAGGTTTGGGGTTAAAGGTTGTAGTCATAATAGACTTACATTCCATAAACTCTTATGACATGTGCTTACATTATACTTATGTTTTTAACTCACGATTCCTTTTATCATTGCATGCTTTCATTCCATCAAGACATTCACTGCAAGCAACCGTGGTTCTATACTGCCTATCCGTTTTACAATGGTAATATCTTTTGAAATGCACTAAATTCTTCCAGTCTTTGCATCTGACACACTGCCTTTCACAATGAGGAAGACGGCACTCAGTATGAAAATCCATGGCTATCTTATCAACATATATTGTCACATTAGGTTATTTTACAAATTTTTGTCATAATTCATTAATTATGATAAACATTGTTTCAAACTAATTAACCATTACCATGTTCTTTGACATGCTTGTGGAAGGCACACCGGGGAAATGGGAGAAATGCTGTATGTGGGGCGCTGCCATTCTACAAGTAATTCACTCTTTACAACATTATTTTAGCAATTCTTCCAGCTGATAAAATTCAAACAACAATTTAAATCGCTTCTTATATTCTTCATAATGATAATGATCCTCTGGTTCATCTATAAGCGCACTTAATCTGGCGTTATACATTCTAATATTTCTTCTTTCCACCAATCAATCTGTTTTACTTTCTTTGTTTTCTTTTTGAGGAAATTATTTACATTTTTTAACATTTTTAATATAGTAGCAGAATGCCTTAAGAAATTCCCATGAACTATGACAACACGTTCTGTATCTTGGAGCTTTTATTATTTCATCAAATTTTTCTATCTTATTTATTACTTCTATATACCGATCCATATAAATTTAAATGATATAATTTCTAGCTAGTATTTATGTTGGAAGATATTCCGAAAGTAGAACCTATAGACATACCCAAATACAATTATAAGAATAGTAAATACGAGATGATGCCAAGTCTACCAGCAAGAATGTTATGTGTTGCTTCTTCAACAGTTGGTAAATCTGTTTTAATACAAAATCTAATTTTAAAGATATACCGTGGTTCATTTGAAAGGATATACATTTTTAGCCCTAGTGTTCATGTGGATGACACATGGAGGGCAGTCAAGAAATACATTACTGACGTAATGAAAGTGGATACCGAAAAGGAAAAAGTGTATTATGAAGAATACGATCCAATTGCATTAAAGCATATAATAGAAACACAACACAGGGTAATAGACTTCCAGAAGAAGAACAAACAAAAGGAATTATTCAGCATTTTAATAATGGTGGACGACTTTGCTGACGACCCTAATTTTGTAAGATACTCCAATATCTTGCATGGTTTGTTCACACGCGGAAGACATAATGCCATCTCATGCATTTTATCAACACAAAAATGTCATGTCTTAGCACCTATAATAAGACTCAGTGCCTCACCAACTCGTTCTTTTAAATAAACACAAATGCTAAAGATGTGAATAACATGTTTTACATTAATTTTGAACAGTGCTTTGAAATAGGTGATTAATCATATTATTTCAACTAATAATGTAATTAGTCACGACTTCGTCCTGAGGGCGAACTTCGTTCGCCGTCACGGTAATGCAGCTGTGGACTACACATATGATGCCCTTCATGATGGCTCTACAGGAAAAACTGTTGGGGCTTGTCCTTGGGCAAGACATGCACAACTCTCCAAAACTACAACCTTTAACCCTAAACCTAGAAAAATCTATGAGAGAACCCTTGCCCACTTTGGGATGATAATACCACCTTAGGGAATATGGATGGGGTAATTGGTTATTCCTATACTGGTCTTGGTAATGGGTTAGTAGTGGTGATATTTGGGGGAAGTGTTAGGGGGTATAGGAATAATCCTCTTATATGGATGAGGTAATCGGTTATTCCTATACTGGTCTTGGTAATGGGGTAGTAGTGGTGATATCGCTGGTGAGGTGTAGGGGGGAGTATAGGAATAATCGTCTAATGGGTTGACTGGTGGTATTATTACCCAAAATGGGCAAGGGTGCTGCTAACTGAAAGCACCATTCGATGTCGATGCTGCTGGCCTCCGGTTGGGCGAGGGCGGCATTTGCACCGAGATCTCACTGTCCGTTGCGCTCTCCACCTGCCGTGATGTGGGCTCGCAAGGGGGTACGGGAGTTGATCCAAACTTTGCACCCTCTTCGGCCTGGATTGCATAGTCCTGACACGTGAGGCGCAGCATGTATGCACGCGCGTGGTTCACAATAGCCCTGGTAACCCTAAACCCTAAACCCTAAACCCTAGACCCTAAACCCTAAACCCTAAACCCTCCCTTAAACCCTAGACCCTCCTCTCGGGGGCCAACATGAGACTTCTTCATGGAGTCATCACCCTCCCCCCGCCCAATAGTAGTTGAGAACTATTCCCCCATAGCTAGTAGAGACATATCCTCCCTAAACCCTAAACCCTAAACCCTCAACCCTGAACCCCGAACCCCGAACCCTAAACCCTAAACCCTACACTCTAAACCCTAAACCCTAAACACTAACCCCCTTCGTAGTGATCTGAATCGAGATTGCCAGGGCTTTCATGGATTTCAGGCAACTCGCTTAGGGTTTAGGGTTTAGGGTTTAGGGTTTAGGGTTTAGGGTTTAGGGTTTAGGGTTTAGGGTTTAGGGTTTAGGGTTTAGGGTTTAGGGTTTAGGGTTTAGGGTTTAGGGTGTAGGCGTAGGGTTTAGGGTTTAGGGTTGATTGAAATTATTCAGGGTTCAGGTCCGGGGAAAGTTTCGAGGAGTTTCGAGGATATTTTTTTGCGTTTTTGAAAATAATTTCAAGTTACAGGGGCTTGAGGGTTTGGGGTTTAGGGGTTATTATAGTACAATTATAGAACACCATTAGTAATTATTCCGGCCCCTACATTGACCCCCGCCATGACCCTTCCCGAACCCTGAACCCTGAACCCTTAACCCTGAACCCTTAACCCTGAACCCCGAACCCTGAACCCTAAACCCGAAACCCTAAACCCTAAACCCTACCAACTGCCGGCCTGCACGTCCAAGTGAGGTTGAGGGTTTTCGAGGATAGCTGCCGAGGCCCGGCTGACGTCCCAGCGATTCGCCTGCCAGACACGTGGTTTAGGGTTTAGGGTTTAGGGTTTAGGGCTTAGGGTTTAGGGTTTAGGGTTTAGGGTTTAGGGCTAAGGGTTTAGTATCGTTCCAATTTTATCGGATGATCCTTAGGGTTTAGGGCTTCGGAGCGCTTGCTAACCCATGCACCAGGCCCTTTCGGGACATGGAGCCCTCTACTTTAGGGCACCCAAAACATGACCCCCCCAATCAATCAGGTCAACCCTCAACCCTCAACCCTCAACCCTCAACCCTCAACCCTAAACGCTAAACCCTAAACCCCATGTCACGGTCCGTTTGAGCAGCCGAAAGCCGTCCAGCACCCGGGGTTTAGGGTTAAGGCTTGTTAAGGGTGTTAAGGGCTAAGGGCTAAGGGCTAAGGGTTAAGGGTTACGGGTTGAAGATTAACGGTTAGGGTTATTAAGGGCTAAGGGTTTCGGTTTTCTTGCAAAGGTGTCCCAAGTACCAACAGGTCCCTGGAAGGGGGCCTAACCTAGAACAACCCGCGCAGTGCCTTAACTGGCCTCCACAAAGCCCTTGATAGGCAAGCGGAGGTTGTTCGATAGTTAGGGCTTTGATTTTAGTAGGGAACTTTTTTGCAACAAAGAAGCGCGGTTCTAGGCTTGGGCATTTTGAGCCCTTCACCTTAAGAAACCCTGCTGCCTAAACCCATGCCAGAATTCCTAAGCCAGACTCCCACAGCCCGGGCCGCAAGCCACCCCAATGGCCCCCAATAAAACCAAACGCCTGAAGAGGAGGCCAAAGAAACGCAACATGCAGGTGAAGAAACTCGTAACTAGGAGGCCTCCAGGGCAACCTTAGACGCTTCGAAGGAAAAGCCCATGGCCAACATCCTCGGATTCAAGAGGGTTCGCGCGTTCACTGCGGCGCAGCTGGGCGAAGCCAGTGATGTCCGTTGAGACAGGGTGCATGGTCAAGGGTTTGGGGATATAGCTGCCACGCGAATTGTCACAACTACAACCTCACTTTTCTTATAGCTACAGTAACCTATTAGATTTTTCTTGTTTCAAGTTCTCCTCGCCCTTGGGCCCTTGACCACATTTGGCTGTTCCAGGGGTGTTTCGGGCTGCGGCCGTGAGAGCATTATGCAGCGAAGAGTTGGCCCAAGTCCAGCACGAGAACCAACGGATGCGGTTTCCAGTGGTTCATGGTGTCGGGTTTAGGGCTGGGAGGAGGGGGGGGGGGGGGGGGCCAGATTACTACGCGCTTGGGGAAGAAAGGGGAGGTGAAGATGTAGGTGGCACCGACAGCTGGCCAAGCCTTTAAGTAGGGTAGCATGCAGGGGGGGTCTTCATGTCCAAGGTGGGCAGTCGGTGTCGTGACGCAAGCAATCGTGAGGATCAGAGATTGGAAAGATTGAGTTGGGAAGACTTAGCAACCGGGAAGTGAACGGCGGCAACCCCCCCCCCCTCCCCCACCCCCCGCCCCCTTGAGACAAATCTTGCCCATCAATCTGAGCACCAGATGACTGCTACTGAGTCGCTGCTCCATCGCTTGATCCAGGCTGGCCTGGTTTTTGAGAACAGAGCGGCGTTGTCATACGTAACATCCCCCAACCTCTGTGCCAATCAACTGGCCCTGGGCCTTCCCTACCCAAGATCTGTCCCTGGATGGGCTGGTTAAGGGTTTCGGGTTTAGGTTAAGGGTGTCGGTTGTAGGGTTTAGGGCTTAGGACCCATGTGCAACGATACGTTCTTCCCTATCCCCACAATATGCCTCATGGGACAGAGTTGACACATCATGCCGCCGAGGCACCGCTAGCATGCCGTTTCCTGAGCGCTGAAACAGGTGCCTTCCCCAACATCACCTTTGAGTTTGGGGTTTAGGGTTTAGGGTTAGTTGCAGTTTTGTTTTTTCCGGTTCAGGTCGCCACAAGACAACAGCTCGGCTGGGCAAAGGTATTGAAAAGCCCCCTGGCCCATGACCAAAACCACAGCTACTTGCACAAGCTCACCCCAACGCAGCTGCTGCAAACACCAGGGTCCTGGTCATATGCAGGTTTACGGCAAATAGACCCCAAGTAGCAGTATCCCCTAAAATAGGGACCCCAAGAAGGTACCCCCAAATATCGTACACCTCTAAACCCTAAACCCTAAACCCTAAACCCTAAACCCTAAACCCTAAACCCTAAACCCTAAACCCTAAACCCTAAACCCTAAACCCTAAACCCTAAACCCTAACCAGCAGTAGGGAGGAAGGCCGAGCCACCGATCGACGTCGGTGACGGCGTCGCCCATGAGGCCGGCAGTGTGGGCATCGCTGCTGCGTCTGCGAGAGTTTCAGGGGTTTAGGGTTTAGGGTTTAGGGTTTAGGGTTTAGGGTTTAGGGTTTAGGGTTTAGGGTTTAGGGTTTAGGGTTTAGGGTTTAGGGCTTCATGGGGTTTTAATAGAGTTTAACTGGGTTTAATAGGGTTTGGGGTTTATGGTTTAGGGATGCCGGGGCCTTGTGAGGAGAACGATTCGAGGCCCACAAAAGAAATCCCGAAACCAGCTGCCTCTCGACCCTGTCAGTGCAGCCCTCTCGGGCTCGTTCTTCTTGAAGCAGCAAACCTGCAAGGCTCTGCGAACGACATAGGCACGTAGAGCATAACACGAATAATCAGGAAGAGTCGGTTCGCGTTCATCCGGAGTCCGGTCGGATAGCCCTAAACCCTAAACCAAAAACCCTAACCCTAAGCCCTGAACCCTAAACCCTAAACCCTAAACCATGCTCCAGTCAACCCTTGACGCATCAGGCCTTCTTGCAAATGGCCAAGCAGCACCTGCGTTTCGACACCCTAAGTAAGGGCTCAGGGTTTACTGGGTTCAGATTTGGGGTTTAGGGTTGAGGCCTGAGCCCTAAAGCCTAAACCCTAGACACTAAACCCTAAACCCTACACCCATGGGGCAGCTTTTCGGGGTTTTCTGGTCTGCCATCCATGTGGTGAAGACTTCTCGTCAAGCCCAAAACCCAAAACCCTTAACAACAAGGCGCTGCAAGGAGCAGTCCTCCAATAATAATAATAATCATCATCATCATCCTGATAATAAAAATGATAATAGCAATAATAATAATGATAATAATAATAATAATAGTAATAATAATCATAATAATAATAATAATAATAGTAGTAACAATAATAAATAATAAGTAGAATCATGAGTAGAAGTCCTCCCTCTCTTGCTTCCAGGCGGCAAGACAATCACGACCGAAGCACCTCCCAGGATCCTTGGGGGGCTCAGGTTGGGGCTCTTGGATTTGGGGTTTAGGGTTTAGGGTTTAGGGTTTAGGGTTTAGGGTTCGTTAGGGTTCTTCGGTCTAGGGATTGAGGGTTTGGGATTTGGGATTTTCTTTTTTTGCGGGGGGTGGGGGGGGGCAGGTGTAAGTTTAGGGTTCTTGGGCTTAGAGATTCAGGGTTTGGATCCTTGGGGGGGTTCGGGTCTGAAGGCTAGGTGCTACCAGGCCATTTCATTCATAGCGCGTTGTCCTCCCCAACTTGCGAGGGACGCCACGGAGAGGTGGGCGTTTCTGGCTGCTTCTTAGTAGGGAATGAGGGAATGAGGGTACCCTATATGATTTTTCTTAAAGGGCATATATATATATATACACATATATATGTACGTGTGTATATATATATATACATATATATATATATGTATGTGTATATATATATATATATGTAGGGCCCTCATTTCTCTTTTTCCCTACAGTACTGAGAAGCAGGTCGGCTTCTGGGCAGGAGAAACTGCAGCTGTGAGTCGCCACCTGGACGACGAAGCTTTGTGACGAGAGCCAGTCTTCCCATTCCTTTGCATTCAAGGTTTAGGGTTTAGGGTTTAGGGTTTAGGGTTTAGGGTGGTGTAGGGTTTGGGGGGGTATAGGGTGGGCGGGGGGGGGGGGGGTAAACGGGGGGGGGGGGGAGTATAGCGGGGGTGTATACGGGAGGACGGGCCACGTGCATCCGATTTATCTCTGGCATTTGTACTTGTAGCATTCCAATCTTCTTCCCCTAAGCTCCGTTTTGCAGCTGGTCCCCAAAACTAAATCTCTAAATTTCCGCCGGGAGGGGGGGGGCGGGGGGAGGTGGGCAGTCCTTTTGTCCGGACGCTTTGAAGGGAGGCCTTGAATCAGCCCTTAGAAGAGACCCAGCAGGGGAAAACCATGAGTCAGCCATAAACCCTAAACCGAAGGAGCTAACAGGAATTTAGGGTTCAGCGTCCCGGTAGTCCAGAAGACTTGCTAGAACGTCGCCATCGCCGTCGTTGCTGGGTAGAGGCCACACCTGGCAAAAATGCAGAGGCAGGCCGATACGGTCTCAAAAATGGTCTTGCATGTAGGCAGCAACGTCTCGCAAGTGCAATCCGACGCGTTGTCGCGCAATGAGACTGCTAGAAGGGACAACGTCCGAATGACCCAGCTCTGCCCTGCCTGTCTGGAGCCCTCCTCGGACAAGCCTTGCCACGGAGCTTAAGATTGCAGATCGAGACCGGCAGCCTGATCCCTACACGACGCACGCAGGTACGTTTACGGATCTTTCCCAAGCTTCCGCAACAAAGTGGCTCTTGCACACTGCTCTTCAGGGACCCTTTTCTGCAACGGGCTTTTGGTCACCACCCCCGGCTCTGACCCTTTGAACTCTAAACCCTCCACCCCAAACTCATCCAGAGCCAAGGCGCTCGATATCTCCACCGACTGAAGATAGCTCTGGCCGAAGCTGGAGGATCGTAAAGGCGATGCCTCAGCATTTTTCGAAGCCCAAGACGTATGTGGGCCCCTAAAAATGGGGTACCTATTCGACTGCGTGCGCAGTAGATTTGGGGCACGCTCGCCAGGGACCACAATTCATTTTGAGCAGTGGCCTTAGCGCTTAGGGTTTCTGCTAGGGTTTCGGGTTTAGGGTTTAGGGTTTAGTGTTTAGTGTTTAGGGTTTAGGGTCTAGGGTCTAGGGTTTAGGGTTTAGGCTTTAGGGTTTAGGGTTTTAGGGTTTCGCCACCCGCACTGCGCGCACACATGCTCCGCAGGGTTTTAGGGTCCTAGCCCCCTTGCATCCGTGGCCCAGCTGTTCGCATGGGGGCGGGCCGAGATTGGTCCAGGGCACGGCCTCCGCCAGCTGCCTCTGAAAAGCCTCCTGCAAGGCTTCCAGGAGGGGGTTGAGGGTTTGGGGTTTAGGGCTTAGGGTTTAGGGTTGAGGGTCTATAATAAACGTCTAACTTCCCCACATACCCGAAATGCCCTGACTACATGCTTCCGTCGAGTTCCCCCCCAAAGCGCCCTTAGCACTTCATACCCTACACCCTATGCCCAGGTGCCCGGATCTACGCAAAGATGACCCAGGCCCTTGTCCTCCAGCATCTTGAGCCCCTCCTGACCAGTAGCCAGGTCCAGGTCCACCAACACCTGCGGTTAGGGTTTAGGGTTTAGGGTTTAGGGTTTAGGGTTTAGGGTTTAGGGTTTAGGGTTTAGGGTTTAGGGTTTAGGGTTTAGGGTTTAGGGTTTAGGGTTTAGGGTTTAGGGTTTAGGGGCCATTCTGGGACGACTCAGGCATGTGACACAGGGACGGCTTTAGGTATACATATGAAGTATATACATATGCACATACATATATGTACAGAAATATCAAAATACATATATATATATACATATATATATATATATGTGCGTGTGTGTATTTGTATATAGATACACACATATATATATATGTACATATATATATATATGTATATCTGTGTGTGTAATAGGGCTTGAAGAACGATAGCTTTATTCCCTGACCACCATCCGGGAATCTGATCGGCAAGTGAAACGAAACATCGCGGCCAGGCACGGTGCCGTCTACAGCCGCAGAGATCGCCACATCCACCTCATCAGCGTGATGTTTTTTTCACAATGTAGGGTTAAGGGTTAGGGTTTAGGGTTTAGGGTTTAGGGTTTATGCATTGAATAGGCCTAGTGTGGCTTGGAGGTTGTGCTCTATTCCTCGCGACGGCGCGACGGAGATCACCATGTCACCCCCGTCAATGTGCAAGCTGCTTCCATGGAATCAAATTCTATACTCTGGACGAGTTTTTGTAGGAGCGCAATGTCCTTTGTGGTGCCAGTTGAGCAGTAGCTTTAGACTTAGCGCCTCCAGAAACCATGTGCTACATCTGCTTGTCGTTTGCTTCCGGTTTCACGTGTCTACGAGGTTCATGCACGAAGGGGTTCTCCGGGTTGGGAGTTGAGAGCATAGAGGTTGAAGTGTTTAGTATTCAAACTGCTCGGAAACGCGTGCCCGAGCGGCTTCACGAAAACAATATTCTAAATGCACAACAGTGCCCACAACATCTCACATTGAAAAAGTGCGTTCAGCAGGACATGCTCATGCTGGAAGACGCCAGCCTGGAACCCGCCAAGTAGCCTTTGAGATAGCCTGAGTACCCTGAACATGGTGCACACAGACCCTCATCATTTAAATTACGAAGGGGTTTAGGGTTTAGGGAGGGGGGGGTTGGGAGGGCCTCCAACACAGAAGACCCGAACAACAAGTGCGTCCCCGCCACCGATTTGAGTGCCACCGTCTCTGAAAGGACTGCCTCGCCACCAGCACCCGGCCACCCCCAAAGTTGGCTAGGAATCTGCTAAACCCTAAAGCCCTAAACCCTAAACCCGAAACGCCCTAAACCGGGGTGGAGCTTAACTTGAGTTCTTGCTCAGGGGATGCAGTCCGCCCCCCCCCCACCAGAAACAGAAACAGAAGCAAAAACACAAAGGGGGGGCGCCTTCTTGGAACGTAAGGGGATCTCGAGCCCAGGAAACGAAAAAGCGGCCCAGTGGCCCCCAGATCCCCAAAGTTTTTTGGGTTTAGGGTCTAAGTTGCTGTGTAGGAGCGCTCTGTTGGGTTTGTAGGGTTTAGAGTTGGATCTACACCCTTTTTACTAACAGACCTTAATAGGGATTCTAATATGGGGGGTACCCCAAATAAGGACTGCCAGTACAGGGCATATCCCAGGGTTCCGAAGGCAACAACACCTTTGAAGTTTTTTCTCACCCGTGAGGTTTAGGATTTAGAGTTTAGGGTGGGCCACCGTTGTGGGGTTCAAGGTTTCGGGGTTCAACCCTGAGAACACCCCCCTTTTTTCGGAACCCTTTTTGCACTTGGACTGCCAGGGCGACTCAGATGACTTTCAGCACTGACCCTCAGCTCTCCTGGCTAAGAGCCCACTCACCGCCTCAAGCCACAACCCCTAACAACCCTGAACCCCTAAAACATCCTCTTGCATCTAGGCTTGGCTGAGCCAAAACCCTAAACTGTTCTCTTGCATTTTTGGATGAACAGAAATAAAGACAGGGGGGTTATAGTCCTGGTAGCCCAGTAACCATATTATCATAAGGGCACCCTTTCTTGTTCTTGGGGTGGTTACTTAGAAGGGAACCTCTGGACCAAAACGGGAAAAGGGTACCACTGGCCTACAAAGTGGTTCCTAAAACCACCCTAAACCCTAAACCCGAAACCCTGAGCCCTAAGCCCTAAACCCTCCTTTCGGTCCCCGGAATGCCTGCAGCTGTTGTGCGAAGGCCTCGAGTCCTGGGTCCTCAAAGGCTCACTTTCAGGGGTCGAAATTCGGATGGAGGCCAACTGACATGTACACACATGCATGCATATAGGTACACACAAAAAAGGAGGTATATGGATTCCTTAATTATCCATGTAAAATTGTCTTACTGTAATGGGTTTCTGGCCTGTTGGGTGTTGGGGTTCTCTGGCCCTTGAACTTTGAACTGCCGACATCAGACATGCGGTTGTCTTGCTCTAAGTCACTCTCCCCTAAGTATTGCGCACCCCCTACTGTTCAAGCTCCGCACTATCACAAGGACACAACAAGTGGCCCCAAATTGTTGGGAACTCGGACTGTTCATGAGATAAACGGGACGGTTCTTAGACCACCACCCTTTTCCAAGAGACTTCGCCCGCCTCGATAATATGGTGGTCCAAAACCCTAAACCCTAAACCCTAAACCCTAAACTTGGCCCTAAACCCTAAACCCGGAAGGTTTCGGGTTGCAGGGTTCGGGAGTCGCACCCCGGTCTGCAACAGTCCTTCTGAAGGCTGCGGAAATCGAGGGAGGGCAATGCCAAGCGCAGCCTGTGTTTCGGGAGCAGCTCAAAGTGAACTTGAAGGCGGCCGGGGGTCTCATGGAATGATGGCATCAGGATGCATCAGGGCATTTGATAGAACGACATTGTCCCTTCTCCTCCCGCAACTTGCCCTCAACAAGGGAAGGTCGAAACTATGGAGCAAGGAATTTGCAGCTGAGGCGCTTGGGTGTCGCGGCGGCGGGTCCCTCACCCTCGCCAGGTGTCAATCCTCCATGTGCAGGGCCGCCAGACGCAAAATGCAGCGACAACATCTCAGATCTCAATCGCATGCTTGTGCCTCGTATGCAAGCAGGCTCTAGACTCCAAGTTCCTGTGCAGCTTGACATGCAAAGCCCGCGACCTTGTAACGAGGTCGATACCGACCCAGCAGGTGTCACGCTCTCAGGCGCGCTGGTGGGGCAGTCGGCGCCTGGTTCCTCAGGCTAAAAACAGTGGCTGTTGCAGGCATCTGCCTCCAGAGGCACACTATACCCATCGAGAAAAGCGCATGGCGTGTATCACGATGGTCTTGTATATAGACAAGGTATGTGCATGCATACATGCACAACACATCGGCAATGCAAAGTCGTCGGGTCTACCTAACGGTTGACAGCCCGCTACAAATGCAGGCAGGTGTCGCATGTCACCGTGATGAAGAGCACCTGCGGTCTTGTCGGTAGCAGAAGGCTCGGCGGTCTTACCGATTACCAAAGGGCCCAATCCTCTTTAACTGGAGAAATGGGCCTTGAATCACTGAGGTGTAAGGTATAGGTATACTCCTTGAGGCACCCCTACAGCAAAATGCTAAACTATGAAGCAAATTAAGGTCTGGGTCCTTGCGAAACACTGTTTTACATCCGGAGTGAGTCTGAAGATTCTGGGCTAAACCGTACACCCTAAACCCTAAACCCTAAACCCTAAACCCAACAAGCTGAGCAGCAGTGGTGCTGGCACCATTCCAGCCATATGCTGTGATCCTTTGGAGCGCAGCGCGCAGATGGTCCACAATTCGTGCTTTTCCCCCTGGTTCTTAGTAGGGAATTAGTAGAAAATTAGTGGGAATAGTAGGGAATTCGGGCCCTTTGTATGGTGCAGCGTCGCTGCCCCCCCCACCCCCCCCCCCACCCCATGGTACCCCCCCCCCCCCATGGCCCCCCTGTGGGTGTGGTTGGGGTTTGGGTTGAGGGTTAGGGTTTAGGGTTTAGGGTTTAAGGTTTAGGGTTTTTTTTGCCACCCGCCTAGCAGACCCCCTCTGGGATCACTCCGCAGGGAACAATCGTGATCTCTCGTACGCATCTTCAGCAAAAAGGGCCCCGAGGCACCCCCGTCGCCCTTGCCCTCAACTCAACCATGCTCAACTCAACTAGCGTCAAAAGTCACACACAATCAGGACAGTGGGTGGGGGTGTATCCAGGCCGGGTTCTTCAGGTCACAGTTTACCACTCCATTGGCGTGGCACGCAACCTGGAACCCCTGACTTGAAACACTGGCTCTGTCATGCCCACATTATGACGCCCGAACCCTCATAGCCGTGGAGACCCCAGCAATACTTCTAGCCTGCGGGCACGGCCATAGCGGGGCTACAGCAAAAGAAACGCAAAGACGGGCTTGCCAGGCATCTGTGTTGTGCCTGGGCCCCTGCAAGTGAGGATGGAGTGGCTTCTCGCCCTCCCTCCCTTGTCCGGAAAAACGCAACCCTCTGTATCTGTACAACGCGCCGTCGTCCCTGTCACACGAAACTGCTATCTCGCCTGCGCTAGTATCGCCTTGCTGGGGGAGACATGGCCTGCGTTCCACTCAAAGCCAAGACACCCCAACAGCAATCCACAACAGGTCACCAGTTTCGACCGCCATGTCTCCCCCTCGGCTCTTAGTGTCCTCCTAACTGCACAATGCTCTGCTATGTATCGGCTGCCCTCCTCTCCTGCTCGGCTCACAGACATGGTTAGCGGGACCCATTCGTAGCACCAAGACACCCTAACAGCTATCCCCAACAGCTCACCAGTTCACGTCACCCCCATGTCTGGCCTCGTCACGGCGAGGGCGCCGCTGTGTTCGAGTTACTGACTCCCTTGGGAGGGGGCGGGCCATAGTACCAGGGAGTGGCACCAACACACCCGAACAGCCATCCACAACAGTTCACCAGTTTCAACCGCCACCTCCTGCCCAGACTGCATCTAATTACATGCATATAATTAGTGTCCTCACTTTGCTCGCGGCGTGCAGCGAATTAGTGCAACCAATTGGCGTACCGGGGCCTCCCAACAGCTACCGAGCAAGTATTCCAGTATAGCGAACCTAGGCACCCCCAAGTCAAAGGCAACGCCGTGGGCCCTTCATGCATGCAGGCGACTCGAATTGGTTTCTCGCGGGGACTCACCAGCAGGTTACGGGGAGCATACGGTACGGGGCAAGGGGCTGGTCTACCAGGGTGATAAAAGTGGGGACAGGGGGCACCTACCGGCTGGCGTGGCGCTAATTATCTTGCAAGGCATGGGCATGCATTAATTACCTCGCTCCGCCTCTGGTTATGGGTCTTCTCCGCTCAGGTCACGTCTGTCCACCACTCCTCCTCCGCGGGCCTCTGTTGTGTGCGCAGCCAGGACTCGCAGGGTTGCCACCAGGAGGTCTACGCGGCCATGGGCTCTTGCCACTTCCCTCTGGATGACTGCCTCCCGTCTCCAGAGTCTGCGTGTCGTTCTCTCGACATCTCTGATCCGGGCTTCTAGCAGTCTCAGTTGGGAAGTCAGCCCCTGGTCGGTATCTTCATCTGGCCTGGGCTCGCGACGACGATTCGCCCTCTGCTGCAGTGTCCTGTGAAGACCTCTCAGCCAGTCGTCCAGTAGCAGGCTCATAGCCTCACCAGTCTCGCGGGCTTCTTGGTCAGTTGGCGTGTCCTCTGCTGCGGGCGTCGAGGCAGACGTGGCATTGGCACTTGTTTCTTCCCTTCCAGCAACTGCCTCTTCTTGCTCATAGTCATCGTCCACAGTCAGCCTTGACGCATAGGCGGTTCCCGGGCGGTCAAGGCGTCCAGGAGAAGTCGTCCCTTGGGGATCCATGGCTCGCTCAGGGAGGTGCATACTCTCGAGCTCCCCTATTAGAAAGTGGTCCAACATTTCACTAGGAACCGAAGCACTACGAACTAGACTAACTACATACTAATGCGCTCTTGCTGTCAGCTCAAGTCATTTCTAGGGGGGGGGCTTTTCCGTGTGAGGTCGGGTGGGGCGAGAGGGCAAGGAGCAGGCAGCAGCAGCAACTCGACCGACTGGGTGGAGAGAGGACTCGCCTGGCGGGACAAGGGTATGACCAGAGTGGCCGCGGCGGCATATTGGTGCTGCAAAGGTTGGGTTACGGCGTCGTACGCGTGAGCGTGTAAAACTTGCAGGCATGAATTGGCACATCTCACTCACAAGAAGCTGACATGGAACTGAAACGAATTGTATGCCCTACTTGTTGCATGCATGCAGGCTGAATTTTGGGGGCGCGTGCCCTTGCAAAGTGTGTGACTACTCCTCGTCCGAGGGTCCTGTCAGGTCGATAATTGGCGCGTGCGTAGGTATGCCCGATTTGTCGCGGGGCGAACTGTTTCCGGGAGCCCTCAGCATGTCCAGGACTGTTGGGGTGTAGGGACCAGGGCGTTGGGTTTGGGAGCGGCCGGGCTTGGGTTTGAGGGGTGGCAGTACAAAGCCCAATTCCAGCAGGTTCCACCTACTGCTGGGTTCCCATGTGTCTAAGGTGGGGGAAGACCGGGCCACTAATACAACTCTGCGTGTGTCCTCGGTCCACGGTGTGCCCGCGTGCAACAGGTTAGTGGCATCGAAGACTAGCGGCGAGTCAATGGGTCGGATCACGCCTCTCTCCGACCCTAGTAACTCATGGCCCTCTGGGTCTTGGATCCACAGCCCGCCTCCTTGGTTAACCGTGAGCGACACGAGGAGTGTAGGGTGGATGCCGTTATTATCCCGGTGGGGCTTGAGGTTACCCCCTTCTCTCACTAGTATGGTGTCGAAGAGGAACCCAGGGGGAGAGATGCCCTTGACGAACTCCGTAAGAACCCGGGTGGTCCAGGGAAGTTGTTGGGCAGCTACACTGAGAGTGTTTCGCAGTCTGGGGTTGATGCCAAAAACCACATGTCTATCCCGTGGGCCTCCCGTGTGTATGAGCTTTGTGGGGACTTTTTCCCATAGCGTCAGGACATCTTGCTTGTCCAGGGGATCAGAGCGTTCTAGGACCTTCCCTTCCCACAGGCACCTGGCACGCATCTCGCAAGAGTGAGTGGGGTGCATGGGCATGTACGACTGCGTATACTGGATTAGTGTGACAGTTCGGCATAGGAACAAGCTAGGGTTGAGCAACTAAACGGCTACCACCTCCTAGGCATGAGCGTGTGTTTGCGGCTGCTCCCGACGCACATCATCCTGGGGCTCCAAGGGGGTTCACAGTTCACTACTTCCCATGCTGCTGTGTTCTGGTTTTTTTTTGGGTTTTTTTTTGGGGGTGGCACGGGGAATACAACGGGGGTGGGTGGGAGGTCACGTGCAGCGCGAGGGTTGTTCGAGGTATCAGGTATCCGTATTGGGTGTCGGACGAGGACAGGCACATATTATTAGTTGTGGTTAGGGGGTGGGGGGCAAAGGGGAAGGGCTAGCGAAAGGAACTCATATTTCTCCCTTTTGCGGCGTTGTCTGCTCTGCGCTGTCCTGATTGTTCTGCCCCCCCCCAGCTATGCATTTCTTGGGGGGATAGCAGCGTGTTTATACAGAGGCCCCTGTGCAAATTACGAATTACAAGGCGGTCTGTTCCTACCCGAATTGTTCTGCATCAAATTGTTGTGGTGTCAGAGTTTGCAGGGGGTCGGGGTGGGGGGAAAGTGCAAGGGCTTACCTAAAGACACGACACCACTCTGACAGGTCTGACTAAGTGCGTGCATCAAATTGGCATCCCATCGTGCATGCATCTGAATTGAGTTCGGGACTTCAGGATAGGGCAGGAGGGCCAGATGAAGGAAATACGCGGGCATGCGGGAAGCAAGGTTAGGGGTTTGGGCCATTCCCTCAGTGCATCGAATTACTGCAGTCGGGGCCGTCCGACACACTGTAAACGGGGCATACATGGTACTCGGGCACCAGAAAGCGCCCGCACAAAGGTGAGACGTCACTCAGTCCCTGACCACGCGAAAGCCATTGGCGTGCAGGTAGGTCAGCACTTCCTGGGGATGAGGCTCCGGCACCACCCGGTAAGTGGGGCTTCTGAACGATTGGTCCGAGAGTCGGAGCGTGTATGGCGGGTCAGTCGCCGGCCCTGGCCCCCCCGTTGCCGGCGGGGTCATGGCTGGGGGTACATTCCCGGCTCTGACGGGGGGCCGTCTGAACGGGGCCCCCCCCTCGCGGCGCTGGTCCTCTCTGAGCTCCCCAACATGTTGATTGACCTCATGCAGGCACGCAAGCGTCGCCTCCATCTGGTCCTTGATGCCGCATAGGAGCTGCGCATGCTGTGGGCGCATCTCGTCGTGTCCTTGCTTGAGTTCGTAGAGTTGTCCCTCTTGTCGCTCACTCGCTTTGACGATGGGCTCGAGCTCGTGCAGGATGGCTTGGGCGTCTTTTGCAAAAGCGAGCAGCGTGTCTGTCCGCGTTCGAACATCATCCCTGACCTCCTGCATGAGGCTCTTGACGTCCTTGATCCTGTCCAGGTTCAACTGGAACTGCGCTTGCATGGCCGACAGGGTCTTCTGGGTATCGTCCATAGAGCTGCGCACTGTCTTAGAGGTGGCCAGCGCCTCATGCACTTTGCCGGGCAGGTCGGCAAGCTTGCCCTCCATGGTGGTCAGGCGCTTCTCCATCTGCGTGACATTGGTAGCAATGAAGGCGCCACGCTTGTCCGCCTCGGTGAGCAGCGCATGAACCTTCTTGAGGTCGGCGTCCGTCACCTTTTTATCCATGGCATCCGTCTTCTTGGAAAGGATGTCCGTCTTCGCCGCCACCAGTAGTTCAATCTCCTTGAGCTTCTGCACGACCCCGTTGACGCCGTCTTGGGTCTGTCCAAGGCTTTTTTCCAGCACCGCCAGGCGATTGCCATCCGTGCTGGCCGTCCCCGCTGTGGTTCCCGCGGCTGCGACTTGTTCCACTCTGTCCGTCATCTTCTGCAGCTGCGTGGTCACCTCCATCTCGTGGCCCCGCATCATGGACGCCATAGCCGCTTCATGGCGCTGGATCATGTTTTCCAGCCGGTCGACATGCGCCGGAGGTTGAGCAGTGGCCACCCGGTGCTTCCTGCACGTGAGGCACTGGGTCAGCAGCACAAGTACGGCGAGTCCCGCGGCCACGGCTGTCGGTGCATCCATCTGCACGTCGAGAGGCACCTCCATGGTAGGCCTAGGGAGGTCTAGATACCACGGGTCACAGCTGTGCTGGGAAAGCGGGAGCGGATACGGCTGCGTCAGTTTGTGTGGTCGTCCCGCCCCCCCCCCCCTCCCATTTTACTTGCTAACACAGACACCACTAGGAATCAGCATGCTACGGGATGGGGCGTCAAGGGGGGGGGGGGTTGGGTGGTCGACCAGGAGGACAGGTACATATGCTGCGCAGAGTCAGGTGGTTCGTAGGGACTTATGTTCGCATTCCGGGGGGGCTAGAGGCGTTGCACTCCGTACAGGGGACATGTCAAGTCGGCATTCTACCAAAGAGTCGGCAATCGGGTGGGCACTTCGGAATTCCCTGTGAAGAAGGACCGGCTGTATTGCGCGTTACGGTAGACTACTCGGTGGTGGGGAAAGTCTCTTGCAGCCCCGGCCGCCCTATCAGCAGCCTCATTGAGGGGATGTCCCTGGTGGGACCTGACATGTCTGAGGTCTACGCGCCCTCTGACCTTAGTCCATTGACTGAGGAGGCCGGCTAGTTCCCCTGCCCAGATGGTGGTGTGTGCCTGTCCCTCCAAGATTTGCAGGACCAGCAGCGAGTCTATGCACAGCGTGACCGGTACATGCGGGCAGTGTTTGAGCAAAACGTCTGCCATCTGTAGAGCCTTAGTCGCTGCATGCATTTCCGCTCTGTTGTTGGTGCATCTGCCGGGCAAGGCTTGCTGGCAGTACACCTCATCACCTGGGAGAGTGCCATAGGGTGGGAGCACCACGACCCCGATGCCCCCCCTGTCGTCCTTAGCACTACCGTCACACGCAATTTGGAAACCTTCAGGTGGGTCTTCATCACACGTAGACGTCGGTATCTGCTTGAAGGAGGCTTCATACGGCTCGTCGACAGGGGGGTGGACTGCAGGAAGAAGTGAGAATGTCTCCCCTATCTGAACCAGCATGCGGTTGTGCAGGTCAACACAGTGCACATCCGGGTACCATCTGTCTGGTGTTTTGAGGACATGTGAGGCCCACCGGTGCACAAAGCTGTCCCAAGCAGTCCTGGACTGTGCCTGCTGGTGCCAGAACAGAGGCTCCGTGGGCCGTCTGACAGTGCGCCAGGCAAGGTCCAGATATCTGGATGTGTCGGGCCAGTTTCCAAGTGTTCGTCTGTCAGTTCCTTCATGGACTAGGAGCCAGGCCGAACCTCGGAGGGGGAGCACTTTACGAATGGGGTGGTGCGCGTCCGGACCCATCCTAGCAGCATGCCCCCAGTACCTCATGAAACATGTCATGTGCGCCGAGCTCCAGGGCCTGTGTTCACATACCTGGGCCGCCATCTTCGAGGCCTTGCGCCTGCTAATCCAGTTACTAGTAGTTGCAGACGAGAGAGGATCTAGAGACAAGCCGGCCATCATGGTGAGGAAATTGCACTGCACAACATCTAGAAGTCTTCTGACCGCAGACACCGGTCGGATCGCTGCCGAAAGCCATTTCCACTTACCAGTAACGAACGAATCGAAGAGTCTGAGCCTTTTCTGGAGGGGGGCACTGCATCTACACAGGAAAGAGAAGTACCCGAAAAATGCATGTGTCGTCCGGACTAGGCGGTGTCGCAGAGTGTCCTGGCAAGACAGTCCGAAACCGATCAAAATTCCCAGGAATAGGAGCGTGGGGGTGCTCTGGAGGGGGGCAGGGAAACCCTCCGGA